AAAAAAAAAAAAGATTCAAAAAAAAAAAAAAAGATTCAAAAAAAAAAAAGATTCAAAAAAAAGACTTTACTCTGATATTTACTTTATAATTACTAAAATATTATCCACATCCACAGACACTTCTTTTTTTTTTACATATTTTTTAAAATTAAAACCTTGCGGGCAAAAAAGGCGGTAGTCAAACTTTTTACAATAATTAGGCTAAAGACATCTGTTAATACACTTTTCAAACATACGACTGCATTTTTTGGATCACGATTCTATAAATTACAAAAATTGTTAATTTTTTTTTGCGCCTGAATGAAATTTGGTCTTCTTGAGCAGGACCCGGCTCTAGAGACATAATGTCTCTAACGGCTCGTTGACCAAATTTCATTTTGGTATAAGAGATCATGCTTTTTCTTATTTTAGAAATACCCCTTTTTCATTTATTTATTTTTTTTTCTTATTCACTTAACGATCCAATTCGCAATTCACAACAAAGATAGCTTTTATAATGGCAACAGTTTTTCAAGAACCGAAAGAAAAAAAAAAGAGAAAAAGTCTTACCGGTAGCCAGAAAGCTGAGGTATGTCGACTAAGACAAGAAGGAGTTAGCCAAGTTAAAATAGCTGAAAAATTTAGTGTTGCTGAAGCAACAATTTCAGGTATTGTGCATGAAAAAGAAAGGTGGTTGGCACTTAATTTAATTCCGAATAGTGCTTCTTTGAAGCGGCAACGAACCGGAAAGTTTCTTCTGTTGGAGGAGGCACTTGCCCTCTGGGTATCACGAGCTAATACCGCACTACAGACAATTACAGGTATAATAATTCAATGTAAAGCAACACAACTCGCAAAAAAGCTTGAAGTGACAGGTTTCAACGCCTCTGACGGGTGGCTCTCAAAATTTAAAAAATGGCATCATATAAAAGAATACAAACGGTTAGGTGAAGCTGCAAGTGCGCCTCTTGAGGAGCTTCCCAAATTTCGTGCTGAGTTGCAAGAATTAATTAATAAGTACCGTCCTGAAGATGTTTATAATGCTGACGAGACAGCATTATACTGGCATATGGAACCTGATAAAACATTAGCTAGTGGTCCGACTTCAGGGCAAAAAAAGGCGAAAGATCGGGTTACAATCTTACTTACATGCAATGCAACCGGCGACCACAAACCCCTCCCTCTGTTTATACATAAATTCAAAACTCCTAGAGCTCTCAAAAATATTGATAAATCTACCTTACTTGTGTATTATTACTGGAATAGTACTGCTTGGATGCAGACATCTATTTTCAATCATTATGTTAAGAATCTAGATAACCAAATGCGACTTTCTAGTCAGTTTATTCTTCTTATATTGGATAGTGCATCGACTCATGGACTTGAAGAAGACTTAGTCCTTACAAATGTAAAGCTTCATTTTTTCCCTTCAAATACAACAGCACATCTCCAACCATATGATGCAGGAATAATTTGGAGTTTTAAGGTGATTAAGGCCATACAAAGTTAATTTTTGGTTCTTATACTCATAAAATTAAATGTTGGTAAGGAGGACCAAAAAATAACTTCGTATAATTTAGATAATTTTTATAACATTTTATCAGAAGATTATTAACATTTTGCGATATAGGCACATTATAAAAAAATATTCTGTGAAGATCGCATAGATGTGTTTGATACTTTTTTGGAATCTGGTGATCCTCTCGAACCGATAACTATCAAAGATGTGATCGATTTCGTTGCTGCTGCTTGGAATAAAGTAACACCCAAAACTATCCGTAGCTGTTAGAGAAAAACTGGCATTTTGCCAAAGGATTTTCTAAGTGAATTGTTCCCATTTGAAGAACTTGACCAAGATAATGAACCAAATATTACTAGTGAGATTCAGAGTTTAATTAGGTGATTTCCTTTTGACCAACCTATGAGTGCAGAAGAGTATGTAATTGCCGATGCTAACCTAATTACTACTGAAATGCCAAATGATGATGAGATAATTGAAGCGGTAAAGAATCGTGAATGTATCGAACCAGGAGATGAAGTCCCAAATAAACTAATATCTTTTACAGAAGCTTTAGAATTTATCAATGGGAT